TTACCCAACATTAACCTAAGAATTTTGCATATAGATTTCACCAGTTCAGGAAACCAAAACCCATAACAAGCAATAATTTAGGATGTTGCAAAGTTCTATTTTTTCTGCTTGTGGTGAATTTCACTGTGCAAATATGTTATTGAAATTATGTTAATTTTTTTCCATTAGACCATCTCCAACCACCCTCCATATCTCCAAAATCTCCAAATTTGGAGAGTGGAACCTCTCCAACCACTCTCCAAATTTGGAGATCTCCAAATTTGACTCTCCAAATTTGGAGGGTGAGGAGAAAAAATGGAGGGTCTCTCCATAACACTATTCATGGTTTATTAATTACAATTTTACCATTTTTAACTATTTGATTTTTTAAAAATTATCACTTTGCCATCATTCTTAGTAATTTAAATTAGATGTTTAATTTCAAATAAATATAGTTAAAAAATTATTAATCTAATATATGAAATCATTATATATTTGGAAAGGGCTCGTTGAGATCTTTAAAATAAAACTAAGAATAATTTATTTTAGTATTATTATAAAATTATTAATTTTTAAATTAAATAAATAAGTATCAGACATGAAATTTTAAATACGGGGATCTATTTAACTTGCTCCATAAGAAAATATAAGCATAAATTACAATATTTAAATTGCATTCCTTCGTGAAAGCGAGGATAGATAAATTCTATTGACTGATCTCAGTCAGATCGTTGATCAAAGTGAACGTGCTTACTATCAACAAAAAAAAGGAAATTATGAATAGAAAAGAATATAGAGCTCCATCATTCGACTATGGATTTTCCTCCAGAGGGCCAAGAGGATTTTCTGATCTTCTTAGAGGAGCTGTAGGAGGACAAAACGAATATGAATTTCCCACTGGAAATCAAGGAGGATTTTCTCAATTTGCGGGAGAAGTTGGTTCTGTAGGAAGAAATGAATATGGTGCTTCTTCGAGAGATCGGGATGGAACTGGTAGTTATAATGATAATGACCTGCCAGAATTTTAATTGTCTCTTATCATATTTTATGTTTGAGGTTTATGTTTGCGACCTATGGTATGTTGTATTAGAAGTTAATATTTGCTTTTTTGTTCTATCGCTGTATGCTTTCACTGTTATTTCAGAATTTTTTTAATATGTTGTATTGCAGTATTAATATTGGGTTCATTTTAAAGCTCTCATCGACACCTTTATATGTCATAAATTCTTTTCCTAAATAAATTATTAACAATAAAATTATTAACGTAAACTATATCCAACATTATTTAATTTATATGGTTTTTTTGACAAAAAAATAAAAAAGAAAAACATTTGAAGAGTGTGGGTTGGAGCAACCCTCCAAATTTCACCCTCCAAATTGGAATATTCCTAGAATATTCCAATTTGGAGGATGAAATTTAGAGGGTATGGTTGGAGATGCCCTTATACTTGAGAATTTAGAAATCCAAAACCATGTCAGAGAACACAATTTATTTGTAAGTTGGTGTTTTATACTCCACATCAAATAACCAAATGGCTAAAATCAGGTCATCAAGTCTAGGCGTATTCATCTGTATCAAGTGCTCAGGTGTTCATAGAAGTCTTGGAGTTCATATATCATAGGTATTAACTAGCTAATTATCCACTAAGGGGAAAAAAACTGTCTACAGACCAGTCCACCAAACAGAGAAAAGCGAGATATTAAATACAAGATCAAAAGATGATAACCACAAAGGCATCAAATAATCCTAGAGGCGAGAGAATGCAGAAGGATGTACATGATCAGCTAATTAAGCCCATAAAATTCTCAAATTCATGTACCCCCCCCTTCCTTTTTTAAGACATGAGACCATACGAACCCAAAAAAATTGTTTTTGCGGTTCTAAATTCATATGGTGATAAAAGACATCTAACTACAGTTAGTTTAGATTAAATCTCACTGTAAAATCCCCTTCATAAAAACAACGAAAATGATCAGAAACAGAAACAGCTCAAAAATAAACGATCAAACTATTACCTCTTTGAGAGGATGATAATCACATTTTATTACAATTTTATACCCTCATTATCTATTTTACATGAATAAATATACCATTAATAATTGTTGTTAGATTAGTTTGCACATAATTAAATGAAAATATAAATAAATAATATTAAATATAAAAACCCCTCAAAAATCTCTCTTCTCTATTTTGTAGCATTGTTGAAGCCAAAGCCCATCAAGAAAAATAAATACACCAAGAAAAGCAATGGAATGGACTTGGATGCAAAGAGTTGGAATGGAATGGACTTGGATGCAAATAGTTGGAATGAATGGGCTTTTATGCAAAGATTTGAATTTCATCAAGAGACTGGACTTCATTGGACTGCTGAGGGATGTGGGCTTCTAATTTTGAAAATCAATTCTCACTTGGGCTTGCTTGGACTTTTAATTTTTGAAAATCAATTGAGAATGAGCTTTGTTTCAAATATAAAATGAGCTTTGTTTCTTTCATCAAGACTTGGACTTTGCTGCAGCTCTTGGTTTTATTAAATCAAATGAGGAAATCATTTCAATGGGCCGGACTGGAGCTTTGGAAATCAAATGAACAATGTGCTGGAGAATTGCTTTGAAATGGACCGGACTTCACTTTGCTTTGATTTATTTTTGGATTTTGATTTTTCTTTTGAAAATCAAATAAATCAAAGGTGGAGATTGTTGCTTGGGGCTCAAGACAAATCCAATGGCTCATATTCATTAAAGATGGGTTAGAGGTGTGAAAATTTTGTAAACTCCTTTTGGAGAGGAGGGCTACTCTTAATTGAGAAGGCCTTCCAAAAATTATAACTTTAGTTGCAATTAATAATAATAATTTTTTCCTCTTTAAATTTGTTCTTTCTCCTCTTGTTGAATGATGAGGATGGAGATGAAGAGCAATTTGAAGGTTTGCATTTCTTTTCTCTTTTATTTCTTTTTAGTAATTTCTTTATTATTGCTTATTAGTTAGATTTAAATTCATGCTTGTAGTGTAAATTTATTTTCTTGTCTTTTTTTTATTTCTTTTTGCATTTTAATTTGTAGAGTAGATTTATTTTTCTTGTATTTAATTTCTGCAATTTATTTTGTAGTTTAGATTTTTATTTTCTTTGTAATTAGATTTATTTCTTGTTCATAGTTTAGATTTTTCTTTTCTTTTTATTTTTGTAATTAGTTCTTTTTCTTGTTTTTATTTCTTAAAGATGTGAATTTAATTCTTGTAGGAAGTTTAGAATTATATGAAACTAGTCTAATTTCCTTTATATTGTATGAATTATTCTCTTGCACTTAAAATGTTCATGTTTAGGATAATCAACTAGAGAACTAATCGGTAGAAGAAGAATTTGATAATCTATGCTTATCTTAAATGGTTTGATAGGTTATGCTTATGAATTCTAGGATTATTATCATGTTGTTGTTCTTATCATGAATAGTAATTTTAACTTAGATGATAATTTGATAGGTTACACTTTCCTTAAATGGTTTGATAATCTATGCTTAATAAATCTAAGTTGAAATATGATAAAAAGAGAATAGTTTATATTTTGTAATTGAAATTGGTTAGTGGATTATATTCTAGATTTCTTACCTCTTTTGAATCCTTCATCTTAACTTTCTTAAATTTTCTTTTCATTTTTGGTTTTATTTCTTGATTTTATTAATTCATATTTCTTGCCTTGTGATTTCATTTATTCTTTAATTCTTCCTTCTCTCCTCTAAAATTCAATTTATTACCTCTTGCATATAAATCAAAACAACCACTCATACAATCACACTTATTCTTTATTCCTAATTGTCACGCACAAAATATAAGAACCAAGTTTAATAATCTCTTAAAATCACCTTCTTCGTGGGATCGATATCTTTTTATACTATAACTTGATAAATTGTGCACTTGCAATTTTGGTACATAATTATGCCGCATCAAGTTTTTGGCGCCGTTGCCGGGGAAGGTGCTAAAATAGGATTTTATTAACTTGATTCTTTAACTTGTGTATTTTTCTTGTGAAGGAACCGCTTGGAGCTTGAAAATCTTGGATTGAAGATCAAGAATTTGGAGCATTGCTTTCGGGTAAGTCTTCTTTCTAGTTTTCAATTCCACCCTCTTTAGCTAGCTTCACAATTAGAGACAATTAGGATTTAAAAAAAAAGATTTTATTTTTGTTGACCATAATAAAATTCATCTTCTCACATTTGATTATTATTGACCATAATTAAAAAAAAGATTTTCTTTTTATCATCCTTTTTAGTCGCTTTTAATTTCTAGGGTTGCATTTCATATAGTGTAGGAATTCACCAAAGTGATTGTAGCACTTGATTTGGCACACACTTAAAACATTCTTAAGGGCAAAACCCCAATCAAGATAAGGTAAGGGATTTCATCACCCTTTCCTTAGCCCACAAATCACTAATTCCTCACTTCACAAACCCAAGCCTTCTAAAACTCATTAGACGTTGGCCCCTAAGGATTCGAGCTCAATAAGGAACAAGAAATCCTTAAGTGAACGGTTTAAGTTTTCTCAGAATAGTTGGTGTCTAAGGCAAGGTTTAGGGGTTGCGTAAAGCGCTCCGCAAGGAAAGAGGTACTTAATTGATCTTTGATCACCCTCTAGTACTATCCTTACCTGGCTAACTACCTGGGTAAAACTTTGATCTTTTCACTGTAGGAATTTTTGGTTAGGAGCTGGTCTAGTGGAGTTAGGCTAAACCCTAGAGTTAGAGTTGATTGAAAAGTGATTGCCTTGATTTGTTTTAGTTAGGATTTTTCTTTTTCTTTATCTTCTCATATTAAAAAAAAACTAATTTTCTTTCTTCTTTCCTTTATAAAAAAAAAACTAAATTTCTTTCTTTCCTTAAAAAAAAAACTAATTTTCCTTAAAAAAAAACTAATTTTCTTTCTTTCTTTCCTAAAAAAAAAATTGACTGTGAAGAGGTAAGAGACAGTAGTAGTGTTGCTTTATGTTCTTATCTATACATGGTTTATTTAAAATACCTGAAATTTACATTTCTTAAAATTTTTATATGAAAAAGTTGCAAAGACAAAAAAGACTGTCGTCAATGTTAACAGATAGTGTGTTTATGTCAAATTAAAATCACAAGACTCAGGGAAATTGGGCTTTTCCATACAGGGCTTTTCAGGGAAATTGGGCTTTTCCATCAAGATGAAGATAGTGTGTTCTTATCTATACAGGGCTTTTCCATGGGTTCTGTTCTATAATTTTCCAAACCAACTTTTTCTTATAGTCTGCAGTAGGAAGCACACATGACATGAAGACTAATCTTAGGAGCTTGACTTTGTTAATGTCTTCAATTTACCTAGGTAAGTTCTCAAACAAATTTATGTGTGTGTGTGTGTTCTATATATATTCCAGTTCATTGCCAACAAATTGGTTGAATTGATCTCTTCAATTTACCTTTTTTTCTGTACTCAGGGAAATTGGACACTTGAGACTTGGCATCCCTTGTATTCTTATGGAATCCTTTGGCAATAATCACCTGTGTTGGCTCATCAACATCACCAATTGACAATTTGATGGTCGTATTGGCCATCTATGGAGCTTGTTCACGTAAGAAACAAAACTTTCCAAAGCCAGGCCTTTTGTCATGCAGCTATTTGTATCAATCATGCAGAATTTCTCTATGACTTGATTTTATTTTGTTTTATTTTATTTTATTGTCTTTTGTCTATTTTCAGAAAACTAACCTACTTATTCTGACTACATTACATTATGGCCATTCTTACTGTTAGCAGGAAACTAGTATGAACATGCGATGGTGGCCAAAAATGTGGTCACAAGAAAGTCATAGGAGTTGTTAATAAACAAGGAAGACTAAAGGTAGGCCTAAGTCACTTGGATGAGGCAATTAAAAAGACTATTGTAGTGGATAAATTAATTGAGGAGAGAAGCCTTAGTGAAACTAAATTAAGAAAATGGATCCAGGTAGCTTAGCCTAAAACTTGCGATAAAATATTTTTTTTGCTGTTCCAAGAAACACAGGTATTTCTATTGGGAAATCATAGAGTTTCATATGCTTTGATAAAGAAACTAGTTTTAGTATGCATGGAATTCAAGCATTGTCATTTGGAAACGTCCATTCACATTTATGTACCATGAAAAGAACTGTTTTATCTTGGTTGCACTTGTTATGAAGGTTGAGCAATATCTTTCATTCATTTAATCAAATTCTACATGTTTGCAGGTATAGTTCCCTTGGCAGCCTTTGGATGGGTTATGGCGACACACTTGTCACTTTATCCTGCAATCCTGATTGTACCGGTACGCCATTTTGTTAAAGATATAAGCTCAGTATTAAGGCATATGGCCATATATTGTCTCACTTTTTTCTTGATTTTTAATGCTTGAGATGTTTCATATCAGGATATCTCCCTTCAGACATCTCATTGGCTTCTTTTACGTGTGAGATATGACAAACCATGGCATGAGTGCCTTGATCTGCAATGTAAGTATTTATGTCCATAATTAGCTTTGTTGTCCTAAGATGCTTATAGATGCCAGTCGTTTTACACTTTCACTGGGTACTTTCTCCTCTCTGCAGCATTTATGGACTTGGTACTACATTCAAGTAACGGAAACACACTAAAAACAGTACTTATGCTTGCCGATCAAATGGTAACTACTTGATTCTCTCATTCTTTTTTCTTGCCTTCTTATCTGCAAGAGATACACCTGTTTAAACTTAAGAAATGTTAATATATTTTATTTCTTGTTGTATTCCAGTCATCTGCTATAATGTTTATTTTTCATGTTTCTATGCAGATCAATCGAGTTGAATATATGCATGCGAAGGGCTTCCTTCACATAAAGATGGTTCAATTTTCTACAAAGAACCTTTTGCTTGACTAATTTAAGGAAAAGTACAATCTCTTGGTGCTAAGATATTAGTTTGGATTGTGAAAATTTTCAATGTAGGGTGTGGATATATGTGCGAGATATTAGTTATGAAATGTGAATATTGAATTTATGGAAGTTTCTTTAAATGTTTGTGAAATTTGGATTGTAAAATTTTTGAATGTAGTGTATGGATGTATGCGAGATACTAGATATGGAAATGCGAGATATTAGTTATGAAATGTGAAATTTGAATTTATGGAAGTTTCTTTAAATGTTTGTGAAATTTGGATTGTAAAATTTTTGAATGTAGTGTATGGATGTATGCGAGATACTAGATATGGAAAGTGCACGAAATTTGTGAAATTTGAATGTATGCGAGATGGTTGTGAAATTTGGATTGCATATATTTTGAATGCAGTGCAGGGATTGTATACAAGAAATTTTGCATGAAATCAGCATAATTTTTTTGGTGAATATATAACATCCTTGACGGGCATGCCGTCAGGGATAAACATCCTTGACGGCATGCCCGTCGGGGATGTACATAACATCCCTGACGGGCACGCCGTCAGGGATGTTTATCCTTGACGGCATGCCCGTCAAGGATGTTATGCACATCCCCGACGGGCATGCCGTCAGGGATGTTTCAACATCCTACTGACGGTAGCCCGTCAGGGATGTTTCTTCCCTGACGAGACTTTTTCTGACGGCGTATCCTTGACGGGAAGCCGTCAAGGATACGTATCCCTGACGGAAAAATTAGCATCCCTGACGGGAAAGCCCGTCAAGGATGCCCATTTTTCTACTAGTGTTTCTTGCCTTGTGATTTTATTTATTCTTTGATTCTTTCTTCTCTAAAATTCAATTTATTATCTCTTGCACATAAATCAAAACAACCACTCATCAAAATCACACTTATTCTCTATTCCTAATTGTCACGCACAAAACATAATAACCATTTCTAATAATCTCTTAAAATCACCTTCCTCGTGGGATCGATATTTTTTTATACTATAACTTGATAAATTGTGCACTTGCAATTTTGGTACATAATTATGCCGCATCAAGTTTTTGGCGCCGTTGCCGGGGAAAGGTGCTAAAATAGGATTTTATTAACTTGATTCTTTAACTTGTGTATTTTTCTTGTGAAGGAACCGCTTGGAGCTTGAAAATCTTGGATTGAAGATCAAGAATTTGGAGCATTGCTTTCGGGTAAGTCTTCTTTCTAGTTTTCAAATCCACCCTCTTTAGCTAGCTTCACAATTAGAGACAATTAGGATTAAAAAAAAGATTTTATTTTTTGTTGACCATAATAAAATCTACCTTTCACTTGGATATTAACTAACAATATAATAAATTCAAACATGAGTCATCTTCTCACATTTGATTGTTGTTGACCATAATTTAAAAAAAAAGATTTTCTTTTTATCATCCTTTTTAGTCGCTTTTTAATTTCTAGGGTTGCATTTCATATAGTGTAGGAATTCACCAAAGTGATTGTTGCACTTGATTTGGCACACACTTAAAACATTCTTAAGGGCAAAAACCCCAATCAAGATAAGGTAAGGGATTTCATCACCCTTTCCTTAGCCCACAAATCACTAATTCCTCACTTCACAAACCCAAGCATTCTAAAGCTCATTAGACGTTGGCCCCTAAGGATTCAAGATCAATAAGGAACAAGAAATCTTTAAGTGAACGGTATAAGTTTTCTCAGAATAGTTGGTGTCTAAGGCAAGGTTTAGGGGTTGCGTATAGCGCTCCGCAAGGAAATATGTACTTAATTGATCCTTGATCACCCTCTAGTACTATCCTTACCTGGCTAACTACCTGGGTAAAACTTTGATCTTTTCTATGTAGGAATTTTTGGTTAGGAGCTGGTCTAGTGGAGTTAGGCTAAACCCTAGAGTTAGAGTTGATTGAAAAGTGATTGACTTGATTTGTTTTAGTTAGGATTTTTTTCTTTTTCTTTATCTTCTCATATAAAAAAAACTAATTTTCTTTCTTTCTTTCCTTTAAAAAAACTAATTGTCTTTATTTCATTTAAAAAAAAACTAATTTTCTTTCTTTCCTTAAAAAAAAAAATTTGGTGTATGCAATTTTGGGTTCGGGATAATTTTCATCGTTTAATCCGTGTTGAACCAATCCAAGAAATGGCAAATCAACCAGTTCTTCAGGATATGTGTTACCCCACCAGAAATGCAATTCCATCTTGCATAAGACTCCCCGAAGTAAATGGAGCAAATTTCGAGCTTAGACCGCATTTCATTAACATGCTTCCCAAATTCCTAGGTAATGAAACAGAAGATGCATATATATTTATCTCGGAATTTGAGGAAGTATGTATTATGATTAAAATGAGGGAATTAACTGAAGATGCGATTAAGCTTAGATTTATTCCATTTGCTCTAAAGGACAAAGCTAAAAAATGGCTGTACAGCTTACCGATAAATTCCATCTCAACTTGGGAGGAATTTGTCACCGTTTTTCTCAAGAAATTTTTCCCTATTCACAAAACGGTAAAGCTTAGGAACAGCATTCAGAATTTCAAAATTGTCCCGGGAGAGCCATTCTGGAAATACTTTGACCGATTTAAAGATCTTTTAATCCAATGTCCTCATCACGGTCTAGAAAAATGGCGATTGTGCCAAGTCATATATGAAGGATTGGACTATTCTTCAAAAACATCTTTAGAATCGATGTGTCAGGGAGATTTTATGAGAAAAAACGCCGATGAAGCTTGGGAATTCCTAGAGAGTCTATCCGAGAAAACAATGCAGTGGGAAAACTGTGATGACAGGGTTTCATCTGTTTCCCAATCTAAGTCTAGTGGTCTTTCCCTGGAGTCAAACATTGCATCTGAAGCGAAGATGGCGACGATTATGCGGAGGTTAGAAGCCTTAGAAGTTAAGGAACGAGCTCCGGCTCAAATCAATCATATTTCTGCCCCGGGATGTCATAACTGTCAGTCTCCTACCCACGTTTCAGAGGAATGTCCTCTTCTAGGAAACAACCATGCTTTAGAACAGATGAACGCTGCATTCCAGCGCCCTAGAAATGATCCATTTTCTCCAACCTACAATCCAGGTTGGAGAAATCATCCCAATTTTGCTTGGAACCAAGGAAATTCTCATGGAAACCAAAACTTTATTCCCGCGTCAAACCAACAATTCCCTAGGGGAAACACTGTCCCATTCAACGCACCGAACAATTTTTCTAACCCACCTTTTCCAAACCAACATCCTCATCCTCACCAGCCTACAAATCAATCAAATTCTGATCATGACAAACGTTTGAGTGTCTTAGAAAAGGGTTTAGAAGCTATGATCAAAGCTTCTACACAAACTACCAACATGTTGACCCAATCATCCACAACTCTGAATTCATTCATGCAAACCACTGGCCAAGTGCTCAACTCGAACACACAAAGCCATAGCCCGGTTAGAAACCCAACGTGGGCAATTAGCCGCAGCCGTGAGTGAAAGAGAAAAAGGAAAATTCCCTAGTCAACCTGTTACAAACCCTAAAGACAATGGATCCAGTTCCAACCATCCATCTCATGTGAATGCAGTACACACACTGCGATCAGGAAAACAAATAGACAATCAGGTTAGAATGCCACCGGATCAAACCCCTTCTCCCATTCAAAACACACCTTCCGATGAAGCAATTCCTTCTGATGACCAAAATGTTGAACTTGAGATTGAGCCTGATCTAGATAGGTATAGGCCCGTTGCCCCCTTTCCAGATAGACTCAAACCTAGGAAAAACTCCCCGCAGGTTGAGAAAATCCTAGAAACGTTTAAACAGGTCAAGATCAACATCCCTCTCTTAGATGCAATCGAACAAATTCCTTCTTATGCAAAGTTTTTGAAGGACTTATGCACTAAGAAAAGAACCACCAATGTCCCCAAGAAAGTCTTCTTAGCTGCCAACCTCAGTGAAATTTTTTCGAAACCCATGCCGTTGAAATACAAGGACCCTGGTTGTCCCACAATTCCATGCATCATAGGTAACACTCACATTGATAAGGCACTTCTAGACTTGGGAGCCAGCGTCAACCTCCTTCCTTATTCAGTCTATCAACAGCTAGGTGTAGGAGAACTTAAACCTACAAGATGCACTCTACAGTTAGCTGATAGATCTGTAAAAATTCCCAAAGGAGAGGTAGAGGATGTTTTGATCAAAGTTGGAGAGTTCATTTTCCCTGTTGATTTTATTGTCTTGGAAACACAGCCCATTTCCAATCTCAAAAGTCAAATCCCCGTCATTTTAGGAAGACCGTTCTTAGCCACCTCAAATGCTTTGATAAACTGTAGAACCGGTCAGATGAAACTATCTTTTGGGAATATGACTGTTGACCTCAATATCTTCAACTTAGGGAGACAGCCTAGTGATCCATCTGATGAACCCATGGAAGTGAATTTCATTCAAGGAATATCCAGTGAACAACAAGAGGGAGAGTGTGAGTCTGATTCAAATGCATCTGATTTAATGATTGAGGAGCTTTCTGATGACGAACTAGAGATAGAACCGCTGATCAATCATGTTTTTGCTGTTGGCTGGCAACGAGAACCTTTAGAGATAGAACCCCGAGTCCAGCTTCGCCCATCTGTGGAGGAACCCCCTAAGTTAGAGCTCAAACCTCTACCCGAAAATCTAGAGTATGCCTACTTAGGGGAGAACGAGTCTTTACCAGTTATCATTTCTTCTGAGTTGACTACCGGTCAAAAGGAAGCTCTCTTAGCTGTTTTAAGAGAGAATAGGGAAGCCATTGGATGGACCATGGCTGATATCAAAGGGATTAGTCCAACCATTGTTCAACACCGAATCCATTTGATAGATGATGCCAAACCTACTAGAGATGCTCAACGTAGGTTAAACCCAGTGATGAAAGAAGCCGTTAGGAAAGACATTCTGAAATGTCTCGATCATGGGATCATTTATCCCATTTCTGATAGTTCATGGGTGAGTCCAGTCCAAGTTGTTCCAAAGAAATCTGGGATCACCGTGATCCAAAATGAGGCTAATGAGCTGATTCCCACTCGGATCCAAACTGGATGGCGAGTCTGTATTGACTACCGAAAGCTCAACTTAGCCACTAGGAAAGATCACTTCCCTCTTCCTTTCATTGACCAAATGTTAGAGCGTTTAGCAGGACACGAGTTCTACTGTTTCCTGGATGGATATTCAGGTTACAATCAAATCCCTA